AAGAATATGGTATTCATAATTTGGTCTATTTGTCTGTATGTATGTCCGGGCTAAACTAAAAAAGTACTGTATGCATTTACTTCAAATTTTGCATGTATATTACTAACAGGTAACCGGTTGGTACAACATATAAGCTACATATTATCACGCTAATCTACGGGCACTGCTAGTTCTAGTAGACAGTTACATATAGCGTAAAGACAAATTTGGCCTTTATTTATGCGTGTCAAAAACTGTATCCGTTTTAATACTCACTCAAGATCTATTAAATTTTTACGCATAAAATAGAAAGTATGCTACATATATATATATATCACTATGTAACGCATATCGCATATTATCTTTTTTAAATTATAACGAAGCATGCAGATCTTTTTATACGGGATTACCCGGTAAACGAGCAGACGGATCACCTGATGGTAAGCAATCGGCGTCGCCCATGGACACCTGGAACACCAGGGGCATTACAAGTGCATAACCGGCCTTTTAGGGATTAGGAATTTTAGGTTCATTGGGTGAGTTCACAAATTATTGTTCTGAAGTTGGGTGTCATGTATATGTGAACTTGTATGTTTGTAAACGCACCCACAACACACGAGAAAATCGTAGTGTGGGGCAAAGTTTAAAAAAAGTCTACAAAATTTTTGTGTTTATCTATTATACCATTACCTACCTACTTAAACTGTCAAACACCATAAACGGTCACCGGTGACCGCAAGCTATTGTTCTATAATTATGTCTATAATGACGGTACTCAACGAGTTAATAAATAAATAAATAAGATTTAAAAATCAGTAACAAATAGTCTAGAAAAGAAAGAAAGAAAGAAAGAAAGAAAGAAAAACCATTTATTTCTGCGCAAAACACACATAACATAATTATTTAAAAAATAAAAAGAAAACAAAAAAAGCTAAAAAATTAAAATGAAGTGAGATCTTGTCCATGGTCCACAGACTTATTATTTTACTGAAATGAATCTACACATATAAATAAACTGTACCTCCTATAACAAGACGAATAACATAACCAAATATACCTCTAAATAAAAAAAGCACTCTACATAATACGAACACGTATAAAAAGCACTCTACTTATAAATAAAGTTAATAACTTCGTTTAAGTAGGTACACACGGCCACACATCAATCTATACAAAACCAGTTTATCCTGGTGTCGCGTCGCATCATCTTTCCGCACATTTAACGTTCAGTTTATACTGGTTATGTAAAGCTCGATGTGTAGCCGTTTGTACACTTTTACTGGTAGGGCCATGATTCTATTACAGTGTGTGTTAGTAGGCCATCGTGAGGCCGGTGAACAGTTAATGCATTCCGAATTGTAAGCATTGAATCATCTTTTTTATATGTCTTACAGATGCTGGGCTAATTTACACCAATTTGTTAACTTTTTGTAAAAATCTTCATTTTTATTTTTTCGTAAAAATATAAACACAACACCTTTAAATTCTCCAAACATTAGACTTAGTGCCTGATTCATGATTATTCTCAAGCATTCATGTTTCTAGAGATGCAATGAATTGTTGTTTGGCCGGATACCTGATACCGGATATTCGACCTGACCACCAGCCGAATATTCGGTAGCCGGTTGTCATGCAGGTTTTGACTTGTTATTATAAAAGTTAAAATTGATTAAAATAATAAAATGATTCAATTACAACTGTGTCTTTATTTAGATTTCATTTATAAAATGTACCATGTTTACTATCCGGTATCCGGCCGGATAGTTACCGAATATTCGGTGCATCTCTACATGTATCTCCCTTTGTTTTCACTGTTCCGTACATAATGGGCGAGGATATTACCAAACATCGGAATTCGGATGAGAACGTGTTAGAAAAACACGCATGCTACTGAGTGACTAGTGCTCAATTGAAGCATGATTTCGTGTTTGAACTCATAACATGTGTAACAGTACCTTATCGTGGTGGCCCTGAGGTTTAAGGTGAGTTCGAAACTTACCAACGGCAAGTGCCACAATGTGAGTTTTTCCGAATAATATGTAGGTACTTTCTATGATTATTTAGACTACATTGACAAATAGTAAAGGTAAAAACATCTAAAGGAAATCTGAGCTAATAATTTCTAATTGTAAGTTTGAAATCGCTAACCCGCATCGAGCAAGCATGGTGATTAATGTTCAAACCTTCTCCGTGTGAGAAGAGGCCTTGCTCAGCAGTGGGCATTTATAGGCTGGTGATGTGAACAGTGATGACGTATGGTACTGAGACGTGCTCCCTGACCTCTGGCATTCTGGAGAAGCTCAAAGTCGCTCAGCGTGCGATGGAGAGAGCTATGCTCGGGGTTTCTTTGCGCAATAAAATCCGAAATATGGAAATTCGCCAAAGAACAAGAGTTAAGTACCGATATAGCTCGCAAAATCTGCGGACTGAAGTGGCAATGGGCAGGCCACGTCGCTCGAAGGACTGACGGCAGATGAGCCCGGAAAGTCCTTGAGTGGAGACCACGGACCGGAAGTAAGCTAGCTGTTATGAGCTGTTGAAGTTGATGTTGTTGTTAATAAAAATCGATTGGAACTACGTAATCAATAGTAGCCCATATTTGCGAATCTCATTAGATAGTCTAGACAAATTCCTTTCCGATTTAACACCATTTCGAGATAGCTAATTATTATGTTTAGAACTGCCATTTGCTTCCGAAATATCACGTGAGGAAATTAAATTTATCAATATTTTTTATTATTAGAAAAATAGAATTGCTTCAGGATTTTAGGACAATTGGCACATGTTTATGTTAGTAAATTTAGGTCTTGTCAAAGGACTTATTAGTATTACTCATCAATAGACCATAGGCCCGTAACAGACAATAGCAGGACTATAAAACACTTATGAGGATGTACCATAACATCATTGCTTAACAATTGGTTTGGAGATCGAAGTTGGAAGGAAGAAAGAGAGGGAAAATGATGGGATAGAACTGCAAAGTCCGGATAGAACGTGTGTTTGTCCGGATCCGAAGTAAAAAAGCTAAATTATTTTTTTCCAATGACGTGTCGAAGTAATGGGACAAGCCCGCCACAACCTCTCTAAACCACTGCAACTGCTGTAAGTCAGTCAGTCAAGTAGATACCACCATGAAAACAAGGGAACACTGAAGTTCGACGCTTCTCAGGATCATGAATAACTGTCTTGGATCCCGTAACATAATAAATTAGAAGATTATAATAGGAGAAGAAAAAAGTGATAGTTTTCACTTTCCTCGGTGAATTCATGCAGGAGACTGACTGACTTAAGCCTAAAGACACAAAAGAGACGGCACGACTGGAAGAAGCCTTCGCCAAACCACGGAAAATTTTGCTAAAAAGAAAAACTAAATGGGTCCTATGTGTGAACTGTTATACTTACTTCCAATAATATGTGTGTCAAAGTAAGTCAAATATATCTACTTCGATTTCATAATGTATCAAGAGCATAATAACATCACGCCTTTTATCCTCGAAGGGGTAGGCAGAGGTGTACATTATACCAGTGTACAATATAACACCCACTATTCACTATTTATGTTATGACTCCCATGTAATAGGGGGTGAGCCTATTGCCATATACCGGGCACAGTTCCAGACTCTGTGATACTACTTTTTAAAACCCAGTAATACTTTGCCCGACCGGGGAATCGAACCCAAGACCCCTTGCCCAGTAGTCGCAGTTGCGACTACTCGGCCAACGAGGCAGTCATCAATAGCAGATTATCCATAATTCTGTAACGCTTAGTTTTTTTAGAAGTGTACCCAAGCCTTGAAAGTATTGAATGCGAACATAAACAACATGCTGTATGCAACTCCCATATAATTATGACTTTCTATTCAATAACGAAACACGTTTGCCAAATATTCTAAAACGGTCATGAAGATGTAGACAGGCAGAGAGGTGCAATTAATACTTTTGAAATCACCAATCTGTCTTCTGCAATCATCATCATCATCAACATAAATATCCATTGCTGAGCAAAGCCTCTTCTTTGTCTTCTGCAAGCGTAATGGTTAATTCCTTATCTCATTTAGGTATTTCTTCTCTTCTACGTAGGTATAGCCAAGTTGTCTTCAGAAGGCATAAGCATAAGTAGTGCTTCATTAATCCTCTGTCTATCTTATTCATGCCTTCTACTTTATAAGAAGAGATGAAGATAAATGCATTTTCTCAGCAATAGGACACCTACAGGCGAAAGGTAACATGTTGGTCAATTGATTAATTCATAGTCTCCAATGTGACCTAGATGAAATCTTGAGTACACTTACCTACTTCAGTTCAATTGAATCCTAGAGTCAAGTCAGAGCCTACTTGAAGCATATATACTTGACCTAAGGCAAATTACTAAACCGATCTAAATCTAAATTTAAATTTCTCGAATTTATTTATAATATACCTAAGTAAGTTTTTGTCAAAAACTTAGATTGATCCAAAGATTTTTACGATTCTATAGCCGTTAAATTTTACGGATTTTAGTTGTATATAGGGTTGCTTCGTGTAGTATTTTTTTAATTAAATAAGAAAATAAATAAGTTATTCGATTCACCTCTGCACCTATCGGAATGTCCCCAAGCGGTCACCGGTAACTTACTTACTCCATTATAGACCTTATTTTCGATGCTTAGGGATTACTTTTGCGTGAAAAAATGTTGTGGATTTTTCGTAATCGGGGATTAAGAAGTAAAATAATTATTATAGTTGGCTCAATGAAAATACTTTATCTTGTATTATCTTCGATGGCTTTATCAAATAATCTTACATACGCAGATGTAATTTAATAAAGAAATAAAATTCTTATAGATATTAGAAGTAAATCAGAAACTATCAAAACAAAAATTATTATTTCTAATATGTTTTACAAATAATTATTTATATTGTGTGTGTATACTAAATGGTGATTACGCTACGAAATTATATAATAATATATTTTTCGATATACATAAGTAAAGAGATAACAACACAAATCATACATTACTAAAAACAGAAAAAATACTCACATCAATTTAAAAATAGAGAACTGAGATCACCAAAAATAAAAACAAAATTAACTATATATTTTAAGTTAAATTATTTAAAAATCGAACGTTCCGACGCAAGCGCGAAACGTAAGTATATCAGACAACGCGTTTATGCGTCGGACAGTCGCGACCAACTGAGGCGTACATTTCATATTTCGAACACCGGACACATCGCTCGCTGATTGTAATGACGGTCAAAATTGATTTCAACTTTATTACTTTTCAATTAAAACTGAAAATCCACTTAAAAATTTCGTCAGATTAGGATAGTTTTATGTGCGTCCGTACCCGTACTATGTTCCGTACAAGATTTTGTAACAAATAAATAATGTATTGTACATTCATATTGTTATTATTTATAAGACAATACATCCTCATATATATTTAGTTTCCATTTAAACCACGCATCCGTCCTGTTAGTTAATTGAGAAATACATGTATGTTAACTGTTTGTGCTTAGTATTACCTTTGTATTGTTATGAAATATCCGTTTACTTACTAATTGTCAACAACATCCTTCTAATTTTTCTTTTTTTTTCTTTCTTTAAAAAAACGTTGCCCCCATTAGGATTTTCTCGTTGTGGGTGCGTTTACAAACATACAAGTTCATATACACAATGACACCCAGACCCGAAACAACAATTTGTGGATCACACAAAGTGTTGTTCCGTGCGGTAATGGAACCCGCGACACGTTGCACGGCAGCCGGTTGCCCAGCCACCGCACCAATCGTGCAGTTCGTAATTGTCCATCCCATCAAAGAATACCCAGAGAGCATTTTCTACAAGGGTTTGTCACATTTTCTTGTGTGCCCTCCCAGGTTTCAAAGTTAGGGTTCGATTCTTAATCGATTTCACCGTTAACAATTATTCGGCGAGATTTTTCAATCGAATTCTGTGGGTGCTGCTGTACCAATATATCTAAGAGACCCGCGTCTACATTCGTATCTACTGTAAGGGACAAGCGCATCTCGATCACATCAATAATGCCTATATTATGACGCCTATGTAGAGGAAGAATACATTTTATATGGAATAGGAGGCAAATCGGATCACCCGACGGCAAGCGATCAGCGCCGCCTATGGACACCCGCAACACCAGGGAGTCAGGGATGCGTTGCCGGTATTGCCATTCATTTGGTACCACCCTTAATGTCCCTGCGGTAGTCGCCAAAACTATTAGCTAAGGGATTTTGAATAACGTTCTCTGCGAAACCTGAACCTTTTAAACTGCGATCAGAAACCTCTTAGGTACCTACGTGCTGTTAATGATGTGCCTTCTATCTACATCTGAGTCTTCCTAAGTCACGTGTTTAAGAGTACTAAAAACTTTGCCAATTTTTTTTGTTAACAGGTAGGTAAGTGTATGATACGCACTTATACCTAAGCACGTGTCTGCGGTTGGTATTTCCCCATAGGCAGCAATTTCCGATCACAATAAAGTGTTTTAATATAAAAAAGTCATGGTCGTAAATGCAAACATTTCTCCTATATAAACAGGTAAGACGTAAGACATTTTATGACATTACGTAGGTAAATCATAATGGTTCAAGTTTTTGTTGGAAACTAAAATTGAAGTTTTGAACTAGATTTCTATGATGGGTTAAGGTAACCTACTTACTTTTAATATTACCTGTGCACTATAGATAGACATGGTCCTGGAAGGAGATTAAAGCCATTTCTAAAAAAAAAATATCAGACAGACATAGATGCAGCAAAATAAGTCGGCAGATCAACCGAACTGAGATTGTTTTATGTCATAAGCCGGTAAACGAGCAGACGGATCACCTGATGGTAAGCAATCGGCGTCGCCCATGGACACCTGGAACACCAGAGGCGTTACAAGTGCGTTACCGGCCTTTTGGGAATTTGGAGTTTGAGGATCGTTGGGGATTCAGGGATTGGGTAGATTGGGGAAGGGGAGGGCAATTGAGCATCCGGTAACCTCACTCACACGACGAAACACAACGCAAGCGTTGCTTCACGTCGGTTTTTTATGAGGCCGTGGTATCACTCCGGTCAAGCCGGCCCATTCGTGCCGAAGCATGGCTCTCCCACACTTATGTATTCTTTACCTTTTTTTATGGATTCTCCGACTTTTTAATTAAAGCTAGTAGAGAATATTAAACCGTATTTTTTGTATCTAGACACCCACTTTCAAATCATTCGATACTTTCAATCTGCAACGAAATCAGAAACAAAAAACAGTGTCAATGTGTAGTAATAATAATAATAATGCAATCGAGTGGTATTCAGAAACAGCGTGCATTTGCAACCGGTTGATAAAAAACCAGATTCTGTGCGAATGCAGACAATCATGAAGAACTATGTGGGACAGTCCTCATATCGTCATCGTGGGACCTTTTTCTTGGGCTTGTTAAGTAAGTTGATTAAAATATTGCAGTTTCAACTCCCTTAAATCATTTGAACACTTCTTTCTACTTATTTACTTATTATTCAATTATCTTTAAGTTTTATATTTATCATCACGCCCAAGATGGAACAAACTCAAAGCAATCCCAAAATTTGACCACAGCCTTAAGCGTCGTTATAAGGTCACCAAAAAGTTGCAGTTAAAGGGACTTATGGACATTTCGTTTGTCGGTGACTGGTTGCAATTAAAGATTTAAGTACCTGCCTGTTTGCAGCCTACCTAATAAGGATTGAAAAACAACATTAATCCTTTTTCTACATTATCAATCATTTTAATTTAGGTGGGTATGGGTTTTTAAACCTGTTTCGACTCACGTGTCGTAGTGTTTTTTGGCCCAACTTGTTATGGTGTATTGACGTCAATGAAGAAAATCATGAATCACCATCGCAGAGCAATATTCTCACGGAATACCTATTCAAATTCTTCATCATTAGGTAAATTAAATATCGAGGGGTAACGGGCTATTTGGTTTAAGCGACATTTTTGCAACTTTACAGGAGAGCCTTTTAAAGTTTGAAATTTCGAAAAAAAATTCATAACAAAAACGCTTCTGCAGATATTTGAACGGGGTAAATTGCATTGAAATTTAAATAAAAATATCTAGTTGCTGATGCTAATTCCAAATAAAGCGGACCTTTAATTACAAAGATAAATGTCGCTTAATACAATCTGCCCTTTTTTAGAGTCAGGAAAAATGATTTAAGTGACTTCATAACTACAATTGGCTACAAGGGAAAAAAATTAAGCGACGATGCACTCTATTTACAGAGTAAGCCAAAAAGTATGAAGTAACGAAACCCAAAATAAATAGAAGCAAGCTATTTATCTCAACTACCAATTTAGACTAAAATGAGTAACAGGCTAATTTACTTATGTGACATATAACATTGAAATTGTATCGTTAAATGTTTATGTTTATTTACATCTAAGACGATTAATGGCTGATAAAACAACCTGGATATATCGAAACAACCGAAAATCTCAGGTGCTTACATCGGATAAATAAACACAACACAATATCAAAGTATTTATTTAGATTAATAATAACAGTCTGCATAGGAACAACGATTATATTATTATTTATTCAGCAAAATCAGATAAATTAATGGGTTATTTACTGAAATTGCCGTTTTGTATGAAAAAATTTAAACGATTTTTTTCATGTATTTTTTATTTGTATTTATCGAAGTAATCACCCATGTAATCAATGCATCGTTGCCAACGCAGTGGCAGTTTATTGGGCATCAATAAACTGCCACAAAATACTTCTTAAACAAATCAGCTGGACGGGTGGCAACAAATTCTTTAAATGCATTTTGTACTGCCTCTCGGGTAATGAATTTTTTTCCCGCGAAGAAGTTATTCAAATTCTGGAAAAGAAGTAGTCTGGTGAGTAGGGTGGATATTGGAGAGCTTCCAACCCCAGTTCTTGTAACTTGGAGACCATCTGTTGTGCAGCTTTAGGTCGCGCGTTGTAATGCAGGAGCAATGGAGATGAGCGATTGACCAGTGCTGGTTGGAGATGTGTCAGCTTCTCCATCATTGTGTTCAGTTCTTCACATTACACATCCGCAGTAATGCTCACTCCGTTTGGTAAGAACCTGTGATGAATCAGACTGGCGCTAGACCATCAGTGACCATCACTTTTCTAGGAGTAAGTTTTCGTTTCGGGTATTGTTTAGGTGCTGAACTAACTACTACTACAACTATGTTGAGCAGTGCAAGGCACTGCTCGATGCATACTTAGCTCTGGCGATCATTGAGTTTGTGGGACACCCACTTGTCAAGTTTTTTTACCTTGCCAATTTGACGTAAATGGACCAATATTGTTTTGATGCTAACGTCGAAAGCTGTTGCTAAATCAGCCGTAGATTGTATGTCATCAGCTTCCACAATAGCCTATTGTCACCAAAGTCTTCGGACGACCGCGAGGTTGATCTTGAAATTAAAGTACTTAGGATTCAATTTCGATGAGCGTTTTACGTAAACACTGGCGGTGAGTGCGCGTCCCGTCTGTCTTCGACGCATTCTGGAGTGACTGAAGCGCCAGCGCACGATAGTCCAGTTGGATGATCACGATTTTTAACACCCGGGCGATGAAATAAATATAGTATCATATGACATGATTGAAATGTACCATATTAAAATTTAGTGATTTAAAGACCGATTCATATTTTTATGAATACTGGCAAAATGTTTCAATATCCATTATTAATGTTATCATCTGTATAAAACGACATGCATTTTAAAAAAAAGGAGGGCTAAATGATTTATGACTAAACAAAATATCTGAACGAAAACGACTATTTGGTTTAAGTAGCACCCTGCGTGGAAAATAAAAGCAGCTAGAAGTGTTTAAGAGACGAACCATGTCGTATTTGGGTGACGGATAAATGTTTTAAGCGACAACACACCGTGTGATTAGTGGGAAGTCAAAATGATTCAAGTTACTTGCTAGTAAAAATTAGAAACAGGAAAAACGCTTTAACTCATTTTGACTTATTAATTAGAGATAGGGTGACTGGTTTATGTCTCGGTTATTAATATGATGGTATGGTTCAAGTACATAATTTAATAAAAAATGCGAAATCCATGTCGTTTAATACACTGTCACTTTGGAAACAACACGAAAATAGAATTGTTTGAAACGCCAAAAAAGTGCTCCGATTTTAATGAAACCGGCATCAATCGACGGAGAAAAATTCGCTGATTCCGAATATATATATAACTCAATATCGCCCAAAATGTCGCTTAAACCAAATAGCCCGTTACCCCTCGATATATAGAAATAAAAATGAATTTCCATTCGTTAGTCCTGTTAAAGGGAACCTAGGACGACTGCATCGATTTGGCTAATTTTGGTTTTGAATTGTTCGTGGAAGTCCAGGGAAGGTTTAGGTGAGAAAAACAATTAAAAAGGTTTTCGATTTTTCAGCCGTATCAATTACGATGACATGTTTAATCTAGCCCGCACGCGATGCGACATTCTCACTTCGGAAGTTAATAATATGAAATTTTTCGATGCTTATTATTATTAAAATAACTATTTACACAGTGTACAGTTATTTCTAGTTTTCTTTTATTTCATTTTATCTTTTTGTATCTTAAGTTGTATAATATTTAGTAATGAATTGAATGCATCATTGAATAAAATAAATAAATGACAGCATATTGAAACTGTCAATGTCCAAGTTGACAAATGTAAGTTATGTCAAAATTGTCAAATCATCAAAAGTCATGTCAGTGTTGCAGAATCAAAACAAGCAAAGTGCTCGAAGTATTTTATATTAAAAAGTTTATTTTACCTAATAGTATCAGTGTAAAACAAATTATATGTGTTTAAACGTTTTAAAATAAATGAAACATGTTTGGAATACATTTGAGGCAGTTATACCGCACCTGTGATAAGGTTATAATTCGTAACCTCAGAAGTCGCAGGATTGATGGTATAAAACCAAATCCTGGCCTCAACAATCGATTGAAAGCTTTTCAAGAAGATGGTATGCAAATAAAAGAAGAAAACCTTGAAGAATTCGTCGAACAATCTGAGAGCGACTTTTATAATGTAAGTAGATCCAGCATGCAGCAACATTGTTCTTATTTAAATTATGAATTTTATTTCTTTTCGTAACTAAATTCATCAGAAACAAATTGTTTAATAGGCACTGAAATTATAACAAGCTATAATACACGATTTTACAGGTCGGACAAGCATACAAAGAATTTAAAAAGGAGACCTTAATGGGTAAACATGAACTACGTCATCACATCGTTAAGGACAAGTACTTCAAAGAGCACATGCCCAACTTACTGACTTGGAGTGAAAAGGAACAAATCCGTCACTTGGCCAGCAGTGAACCTGATGAATGGACACCGGAGAGGATTGCCGAGAGCTTTCCTGTAACCATACCTTTTGTTAAGGTCAGAAACTTGTAGTTGTTTTTTCTTTCCTGTGCAACAGTAACAGTCAATAACATTTAACTTGTTGAGTACCGTCATTATAGACAAAATTATAGAACAATAGGTTGCGGTCACTGGTGACCGCTTGGTGTTTGACAGTTTAAAGGGAAACATTCTGTAATCTAAAGGCACTAACAGTGAGTCTGCTAATAAAAACAACATTGTTACAATCATCTCCTAATTTACCAAGCTGCAGCAGCTAATAAGCAGTAATAATAGTATCACCTGACTTAAATATAGGACATTGTGTAAATTTCCCTGGTCTATTTTGCAGAAACTACTCAAATTCCCATGGAAACCAGCTACAGAAGAGCGGATCGCGCGTCATGATGCCTCAGTCATGAGGAATTGGAGAGAACTGAAAGAGGGGTCCTTAGACATACCCCCAGAGCTCAGGGAACATTTCTTGAAGTTCTCTGAAAGAACCATTCCTCCACTGAAGAAGGAATCTATTAAAATTGACATCACACCTGAAAGGGATCTTGGAGAGTTTGAGAGGATTGTTAGAAAATGTGCAGCTAAGGAAAATAATGAGGCAAACACTGGACCTACTCACAATAATGAACCTCTTGCACTACAAAGTCCAGATACTAAAACAAATTCAAAAGAAAAACCACCAAGAAGATCAGACAAATTTATAACCTTCGATGAACTTACTGCGAAAATTAAGAAAAGTTTAGATAAAGGTAATCAAGTTGATATTAAGGATAGAATTATTTTAAGCTCAACAGAAGAACTAACACCTAGCCCTATAGAGAAAGTTCCTAAGAAGGAGGTCCAACAAGAATCGGAACTGTTCCATGATAAATACCCTGAAAGTGGTATAGTAGAGTTTAGGAGTGATGTTGAAGATCCAAAGGAGATTATGAATTATCCAGAAAGGATAAGAATTCCTAAAAAGGCATACAAGAAAGGAGCCACATATAAAGTTAATGATTGCTATTACGATCATGATGGTAGATTCTTATACAGAGTATTAGGCATGTCTCAATAATATAATGTACATAGATAGGTTGAATAAATAAAACAATTAATATTGAAGCCTTATATATTTTTTTTATAAAAATTATATGCATTTTATTACACTTGTCAAAATAAAATAATCTTTATTCAATAACAGAACTTTGCAAGTTAATTGCATGTCTTTTATGACTGTAGCTTTGAATATACGATTCAATCTTCATTTTTCTTAGGTGATTATTTTACAACATGAAATAACCCTTACATGGCTTCATTGTACAATATTACGGAACTAACAATATGGCTTGTACATGATTACTAGTGTACATACAATTCAAAGATGAAAATACATTTTTATTATAAAAATTGGATACAGAAAAGAATAAGCCAAGGTTAAAATACACATTTAAATATGAATGTAGATTCAAATAAATAAGAACTAGAATTTGATCGAAAAATTAAGTTTCATTGACTTTTTGTTGTCTAGGACTAAATGTTAGTTTCAAATAAATAGTGTTACATATTATTTTTAATGAAAATAATACGAAATAGTTAGTCTGAGTATTTGCGAGTTGCAGTATAGATGAACTGCGCAGGAAAATAAACCATTTTATTTATGTACATTGAAATAATACATTTTATCAACTCTGATACATGGTTCGTACTTTAAAGTAACAAATATTAGTTAAGAACTGCTACGTTTTACTAAAGGCATACAATGCTATTCAGAATAGATGGCAGTCATACGATTCAAGTAAATAGAGAATGGTTAGATAAAATTAAACAATATGATCTCATCATATCAACTAACTATATTGACACTTTCATGAATACTTATGAATTTTGGCAGTCACATTATTTACTGTCTCTGTAACTTGGTACATTTCACAAAAATCGACTGTGTATAAAATATTGTTACTATTTCAAAATTGTTATATATAATAGTGTTTATAATAATCACTCAGGGTGCTTGGGACATAAATAATGTGACTATGTAAACACACACAAACTCATCATACAATTCGTTTACGAATTCAACCGCGTCACTGCGCTAGCATCACATAGTTAAGCACAATTATATACCGCCCTCCTTGGCCTTACACCTACTCTATACAACAACTCTATGTACATATGTTACTACAGCCACCGCCCCTCACTTAACTTAGCACCCACGATCCTAGACTAATGGATATGCCGAAACGTGAATTTCTTACATACATTGCTTATGAGTGAACAATACTTCGAAATATACTTTGGGGCAATGTTCATGAGACTTAGGCCACAATACACCATACAATTCCACTTATCTTACAGTCCTGACCTTACTGTTAACTTTCTACTAATAGATTCATCATTTATTACAAGTATGTTGAATCAAGTGTACCTTGATCCCGCTTGGACGGGCTTGTGAAGTTCGTCTAGTTGTGGTATTGTAGTCATACAAACGTAATGCTTCGATAAACTATATCGTTCTAAAATAAAATGGACGGTACTCCTACTTGTGTTGTATATAGAACGAAAAGATCAAAACTAAACTACAAATAATAAAATAACTCTTTATCAACAAACAATACATTCTATTCATATACACGTACGTTTTATATTGTTTTAAATGTAAATAATATAATGTGTGTAAATAAACGTTTGAAGGGATTTGACCCGTTTCGAGTAGCCCCGTCGTAAATAAAAGCATTTCAAGCTGGAGTTACGTTAAAAGTTCATTAATTGGTGCATTTTGCTGATCTTGCGTCTTACGCATTAAAAAGTTGTTACGTGTTGATCACATAAAGCGCGGCGCGACTTAATGCTGGAAACTCGAGAAATCTTAGTCGCGTTCGACAGCTTATAAAGTATTAACTTTACTTCAACAGTTTGGGTTTGTAATAATTGTTTACAAATTCGTTGATTGAATGCAAATATTAAAAGTTAAACGAAAGAACAGGAAGTGTAGTATGAGAAGATTGAAAAGAGACTCAACTGTAAGCAATTTGAGATAAGATTATATGAATTTTACAGAGGCAAACAATTAATACATTACCCAATAGAAAGCAGCTATACTGCACCACGAAACACGCCTTTATTATCGAAATAAAGACGTCAAACTCAAAGGCAAGTTAAATAAACATTACTTAGGACAAATTAGACCAAACTTTTTTTTGCGCAACAAAGGAAAAGTTTGCGCAATTATGATGGACTAAGCTTAACTTTTGCGCAACTAAAGCAACGTATATTTATCTCGGTTTTTGGTACTTTATGTACTTTGTTACTCATCTACGATTAACCGTAGTCGTTTGAAGTAGTGTCGGCAACAGACGGCGGTGGGGGACGGAGGAAGGTCCTGGGGTCTTGCTTCTCCTCCGAGCTGTTCGAGCGCTCGAGTGTACTCGCGTTGTAACGCTATGAGGTCGATATTATGATCCCCGAGGGCTGCCATTGCAAGGAATAAGATGTCTCTGTGAATTTTCAAGTAAAGATATGCGTTTATAAGTAAGTTGCGCTTATAATGTAGTTAAGCAACAAGTGATAAATAAGAAACTTATAAAAATAAATGTAGTTAATTGTAGTACATACCTATAGAAGGAATGGTATCGTTTGTGTGTGGATGTGTTCTCCCGCCACGTGGCTAGCTTACTCAGAGAGTCTGTGAGGTCATTGCTCAGCAAACCGTTGAGAACTGCCAGTGCCACGCTGTAAAATAAACACAATATGTATATGAAAATTACTGAAGTAAGACATAGACACACAGATTGGTGAAAGAAGGTTAATATATCATGATGTGAATTAATTATGCAATTATGTACTTTAGCAAAATATACTACATGTTTGATGTACAAAATATGTTTACCGATAATACATTGCTAAATAATCTATATAAATAAAAATGAATTGTTGTTCGTTAGTCTCGCTAAAACTCGAGAACGGCTGAACCGATTTGGCCAATTTTGGTCTTAAAATGTTCGTAGAAGTCCAGGGAAGGTGTAAAAGGTGAGAAAAATATTTTTTAGGCGGTACGAAGTTTGCCGGGTCAGCTAGTGAAAAATAAATCTGTAGATGTAGAATAAAAGCATATTTGAACAAACTGATAATCGAATCGGATATTGACCTAAAAGTATTAAAAAATACAATGTTCTTACGTATGTCCCGCATGTTCCTGGTCCCTAGTAAGCAGTAACGCCTGCAGCGCCCTCGACCGCGCGTGTTGTCGACGTCGCTCCCTCCAGGCGCGGTGCAAGGCCACGCCTGCGCTTGTGTCGCCCTCTGTATTCCCTTCCCAAAGGCATATCACGCGACATCCACCTGTAATAATATGTATTGTGAAGTCATTTTTTTATTTATCTTTTTTATTAAGAGGAACAGCAAATGGTTACATTATAAAGTCTTACAAACTACATAGTTTACACAAGATACATTTTGGCCAATAATGCAACCCACAACACTGTCTACAGGTTGCCATTAGAAGTAATATTAGAGATTTAGCTATAAAAGTGTTGTGAAATATTATTAATTTTCCTTATGAAAACGCAGATTACAAAGGCAAAACAGTAATTTTATAGCTAAAATTAGTATTATCATTAAAGTCTACATGTTATTAGAAACAAGATCTACTTATTTGATTAATAAAATTGTCAATTCACTTTTATCAGGTACAAATACAATACTCTAAAACTCAGAACTTTATTTCAAGTCCTATTTATTCTATCTTCTATATACACACAAATAGATTATGTTATGCAGGAATGTCTTATACAGAGTGGGTACTAACAATGTCCAAAAAGTAACTTAAACTCTTGACTCATTTTTTAACAGTTTCGATAGAAGACGTGAAGTATAAGCGAACGGTAGAGCGAAACGATCTTCTTGAATTATCTGAAAGAAAAGGCAGGGTAAAGGATGGGTGAGAAGGGAAAATTGCGCAATGATAACTTCAGTTTATTGTTCTGCATTCACTTATTAACTTTGGATAAAAGGATTTTGGGAATAGGATACTTTCTAACTTGTCAAATTCAATACTGTTTTTCTGGGATTTTTTTTTAAATAATTCATGTCCACACAAATAGCACAGAGGATAACACATATATAAAATAAGAGTACATAGGTGCTACCTATTCCTTTTATACGTGTTTGTGTGTTGTCACGTAATTATTTTTTAGCGTTAAATAGCATATTTATTTTTAATAAATTAGAAAAAATACCTAAAACTAAATACCTTTAAAGAATAATAATGAAATAGACTTAGAAATTTGAGGAAACATCCCGATTCCACTATAGAATAAAAATTTCTTACCGTTTTTCTCCGAATCATGGAGCATGTCAGTGCTCTGGTACTTCGTTTGGAAGTCCGGACACAAAAGATCAGGGAGATGGTTCTCAATATTGGCTCGTTCTAGGAACCATACTAAGTTCCAGTAGACGATTGGATGTGATTCCACGAAACCGGAATCTGCTAGGCATGAGTCTCCTTCTCTACCTGGAATTGAGAATACATTTTATTGCAATAGTCGTATGTAGTAACTTGAATACAACTTTGTATGATTATTGTCCTTATAATTATAAGGACATAACCACTTAAATGGTCGGAAGCTTCAATATGCTATGTAAAGGAAAAATTTAAATTGGAATTAGTTGTGTACTTAGTTAATACGTACCTAGAATAGACTCGAATTCTTTCCTCAACACCAGAGGGTTTAAATAAGGCACACTTAACGTTTCTGGTTGTGTTTGGCCGGAACGGAATATCTGAAAACAGAAACAATAAGAAATCTTGAATTGTTTACATTTTTATGACGACGGTGACGAGAGAGAAGCATAGGTAAATTTTTTATTACTGACGAGTGTCGCAACACTGCAAGGATCAACCATTTTTTTTTGAGGGGGATAATTATCCTATTACTTCTCCCGCCTTGAATGAGGCGAGAGGGAGTGTCAGACTTTTATTGAATAAAAACCACCCCGTTCCTACTTCTGCTTTTCGAGCCGGAGCCCCGGTAACCCGTCGATCTTCTGTGGATCCGTATCGGCCCTACTGGGCCCCATCTGTGGAATGTTTAACCATGGGGCAGCATATTTGACGGAGACCAGATAACAATGTTCTCTGATAGACCTGAACTTTCTAAACTACGTCCTTTAACTCGATAGCGAAACCACTTATGCATAGAAGGCCTATACTTAATGTATTCTACTCTGCCAATACCAATCATATTGGATGAAGTTTGGAGATCTATTTTCGGGTAACAAGAATTGGACTTGGCTTACTATTGAATCCAATTCCGATTGATCGACATTGGTATTGAGAAATTTCGTACTATTGAGTTGCAACACTAGCGCCCATCGCATTCGTATTGCGTGTACGTATATTTAATGAGCTAAATGCTATTGAGTTTGGCTTTATATTCCGTACTCTGAATGATATTTTAACAGCTACGACAGAGGTTGTATAGTTTTGACATTTAATAAATATTGAGATTTTATTTGGTAGGTCATTAACATTGAGATTGGTTTCAAGAGTAAGCACCCTGAGGTTATTGAGTAGTTACCTGTACAGACAATAAAGGCACGGTATGCCTGCCGCACGCGATGCATCTAGTATTGAGATTGGAGTCGTCTGCCGCCCAGCCCGCCATTATATCCTCGTCATATAGGAATGCCAGGCACTGATGGCATTGCGAGCACGACGATAGATGAACCACTATTGACGAGTTCTCTGATGTCGTGTGCTCCTGTAGAAAAAGTATTACATAGAAATATAAACTTCCACATTGCACAATGAAACAAACCAATAATACTCTCCGGCTCTACCTAATACGATCCTTTCACATGTCTTTAAATTCCATTATACAAGCTTGCGAATTATACCATTTATATTTAATCTCTTTCTTGCCTCGTATCGATTAGGGGCATACCTCTTTCGCTTTATCTGTAGCATTTTGGTATTTTTTTAATATATCGTCTAGTAGTTGGTCGACGTAATTCCATCTAGTATGCATGTATGGAAATCTAACCACCACCCTTTTCCCCCTTAACCCTCCGACTTCCCCCATAATCATAAATTCAATTTTATGTTATAACTTTCGTGAGACATACTAAATTAATTCTTATGCTTTTCGACTTACTCACGTAATTATTTGACGAGGAACTCGACTAGTTCATTAGCAGTAGTAGGTTAGTAGCAGCGCGACAGTCGCCGCGTCGCCGGTCGCGGAATGCTGCTCATGTCTAGCTTAGCCTCTAGCATGGCTTGAAACTAGTCGAGTTCCTCGTCAAATAATTACGTGAGTAAGTCGAAAAACATATTTAAATAGTAAATATAACAACATATTAAGTACTTACACTCATGGCTGGGTAGAGGTTGTCTGGAAGGTGCGAGATGAGCGTAGCGAGGGAGCCGCGCTCCATGGAGCAAGCTAACTCCGCATCGCTAGACGCCCGTCTGAACCCAACGCCGCCAACCCATTCTGGAAAAATGCACATAATTTGTACTTACAAATAACATCTTTGGACCATCATTAATGATGATGGTACAAATAAAGTATTATACTGAGTTCATCAATGGTCGGGAACAGAAATCGGATTTGGTGCAATAATCTTACTTATATCTGGTACTGGAAATCTAGAATTAAGCCAGCCTTGTGGCAAGTCCTTATATCCGAAACTAGTAAAAATAATTACTTTATTAGTACTTTAATTAAAAGAAAATTAAGATTTTTTCAGAATATGCCTCAAATTACAAGACTCAATAAATCTCGTCGAGTACCGTCATTATAGACACAACTAAAGAACAATAGGTTGCGGTCACTGGTGACCGCTCGGTGTTTGACAGTTTAAAATACATAGTTTAAAAATATCTCACCATCAGGATTAATTTCGGACGATCCGTCAGTAGAATCTTCCTCTCCGATGAGACTGTTTAGAGCGCTGGTCGCGTTACCGAACGCACCCTTCACAGGAGTAGAGTTGGCAGATATAACTTCTTTCATTTCATCGAACTTTTTCGCCACACTCGTTGCAGCAGACTTCAGACTACTCAGCCCACTTTGTAATAACTCATTCGACCTTTTTCCAGCTATACTCGTAGGGCTGTAAAGCGAACTCTAATTTAATAAACAGTTGTGCAGAATTAATGATTTTGTTTGTTTCTGAGTTGAATTCGATATGTAGCAAAAATTCTATTTACAAAAACTAAAACAACCATGCGTTATACAAGACAGGTGCATCGAAATAAATGGCTAACGACCGAGTATCGAAACGCTGCTCAATTTTTTATCTGTGGCGATCACCACTAAAGAGTTTTACTATCTCTAAAAAGTTTCGTAGCAATAGAAACTGTTGAGCAGCGTTCGACAATCAGAGCAAGACATGCAACATTATGACTGGAACAACAGTGAAGAGGAAAAATGTTTATCAATTTGAACACAATGAAGACATCAAACGTCGTTTGGGTACTAAATGGGTAAATTAAAATCATGGATGGCATGGTCTTTGATATGAATACTTACAACAGACATAGAGTGAGGCTGCATTGTTCGTTTATAATAAAAACATATTATTTTATTTTTTAGTAATCACATATTAAAGGGTTGTTCTTGTAACATTCGAGAGTCTCACCTGAAGTAATTCTCGATCATTGCCTTCCCAAGTTTCATGTTTTCCTTGCGCAACGACAGTCGGGCGGGCGAATAGCGTCTAAGAAAACAAACAAGCTAGCGTACTGCGTGTCGGTGCGGTTAATAAAATAACAGAGCTATTTTATTAGAGAAATAATGTTGAACACCAACTGGCCGGTTGCATTTTTAAATGAAAGTCATATTGATATTATTCTGAATTCAAATCTTAAATTGTACTAAATCAATGGACGGATACAGTATTACGCAGTGCAATTTATTCTTTTTTTTTCTTCTTTGGAAATCGAGTCTCCAAAACGGAGTTGTCCAATTTATTCTTATTGAGGAATCAGTATTCTTCTATTCTTATTCCTTTGTAGAAAAGTTACATTAAACTAGATTTTACTTAAAAATGCAACACAGCGACATAGATATGAAAGGCTAAAAAAACTATAAGAAAATAAGAACAGGGAGCTAGTGGCCCCAGACAATGAAACACATGCTTCATATAGTACAAGATGTACGTGAACTAAAACATAGCAGTGACATCTATACATGACAACAAGATTGTATAATTATATTTACACATCAAAGTTGTCTTGGTATACTTAAAGTACTTGCTATAATAGAAAAATTGTGTATTTTATTTGTATTTGATAGTCAATTTGCAGCTATTCTCTAATCTATCGGTGGAAAGTACAGTGGCCTGTTGAGACCTTAGTATGAATTGAAAGAATGTTTTACGTTTAAATTAATCGACAAGATGCCGCGTTGAGTGCTCTGATTGGTTGATTAATTGTAGCCGGCCAATCATAGCGCCGAACGCATACTCGTTACGATTACTTTAAACGTAAAACAAACTCGTACTAAGTCCTCAACCAAATCCATCCTACCAAACATCTTTATAACATTTTGAACTATATTTCTTTGATATAAAGTCCAAAATCCAATGAATAACATTGGCAGATGAGACGTTAGGCTACTGTACTAAAGATAGATATCTAAAAACAAAAAATCTTTTAGTCACAGCAATAGATAACTAAAAGTCACCGTCGATCAAAAGACAAAACTTTATCATACCAAGACAACACATAAAAAAACATTGAAATCTTGAACTAAACACTCATTTATCACTAACATTTAATAATGAAAACATCATCTAATGTATTTGTCACTCACCCGAAGCTGATCTTGAGTGTGTTGCCGAGACTGACGAGGCTTGAAGAGACTGTACCAGCGGGTGCCGTCTCACTTCTGTGCAGTTTCCTGCGTACAGGAAACTATCGAGGTTATCTCGCTCACAAGGGATGTAGGACTAGCTATACTCTCAAACGTTAGCGGGCGGCACTGTCAGGTTGGGGTCGGTATGGGGAATACACACCGAAAAGAAGGTCAGCGAGACGATCTTGTAGATAACTGCGGTTTAGTGGCGAATAGATTTCAAAAATATTGGTGAATTTGTCCGTAGTCATTACACATATGTCGATAGATTTATTCATATTTAAGTTCGTTTTCGATTTCGACAAATTTGACAAGTCGTAAGATTGATATTAATTGACGAACGATTTTGTTTCTGCTTAACTCGTATACACAATCACCTAATATAAATACCCAAATTTCATTCATACAGAAGTAGTCTCTAAACATTGGAAATAAGGTCTATAATGGAGTTAGTGGAGAGTGGTCACCGGTGACCACTTTGGGATTGATCAGTAATATTTAGGACTATATAAGATACTAGCGACCCGCCCCGGCTTCGCAATATGCATGTATTATACATATAAACCGTCCTCTTGAATCACTCTATCTATTAAAAAAACCGCATCAAAATCCGTTGCGTAGTTTCAAAATTTAAGCATACAAAGGGACATAGGGACAGAGAAAACGACTTTGTTTTATACTATGTAGTGATGTCATAATTAATCTTTAACGTCTCGCTGACGTAAATTTGAATCTACGTGAAGGATGTATAGTCGGGTCTAGCTGGTTTAGCATGCTGTTTTATTTGCAGCATTATTGGAAGATTATAGGAATAACTACTTCACACACAAATTCACAAAGCTAATGTGGTGAGATTAGTTAAAATAGATATTATATAGGTGTGCAGATGTTCAAAGCGAATAATATCATTCAACACAAGATTTACACTGCATAGGCCCATTATATTGATTGGAATTTTCTATTGAGTAGTTGCCTTAATCCATTGCTCAGTTTTTATCAAACTGATATTCACCTATATTTAAAAACTTTCACGATTGATATAGCTGTAACATGTTTTGCCTAATTTAATTCTTCAGAGATTATAACATAACAATTTAGAAGCACTCTTTGGTAGTACTGAGATTTAACATTCAAGTAACATGACGAAATATTTGTTATACATGTGTGTATTTTTTTATGGGTCAAGCCCGTCACAACCTCCCAAAACCGCTACAACTCCTGTAAGCCAGGATTTACAGTAGAGACAACCATGAAAACACGGGAACACTGAAGTCCGGCGCGTCTCAGGGACATGAATAACTGTCTTGGTTCCCGCAACGAAGTGAATCAGATAAAATAATAATATTATAAGACATGTTTTCTGTATATCTGCCAACATTTTGAACACAATGCATCATGCCACACAATATCGCATGCAACGAACTTGTAAAGGAAGCTTATTATACATATTTAGGCACCAGCACATCAACTCTTAACTGCCATACTGCTTTAACACATTAAACGCTATATGGTATCATCGGTGATCGACGACGTTAGTAAACTTCCATTGGTAGTTGAAGACTTAAGAATTTATTGACTAAGATTTCAATCTGTGAAATCAATTGATAAACATATCAGAGTATCTCTTACTTCTATAAGGGTCCGGACAAACAGAGATTTTAACATAACATAACATCACGCCTTTTATCACCGAACGGGTAGGCAGAGGTGCACATTACAGCACTTAATGCCACTGTACAATGTAACACCCACTTTTCACTATTATGTTATGAGTTCCATGTAATAGGGGGGTGATTGCCATATACCGGGCATAATTCTAAACTGTCAAACACCAAGCGGTCACCGGTGACCGCAACCTATTGTTCTATAATTGTGTCTACAAAACCGGTACTCGACGAGCTAAAATCCGTGCTACTACTGAGATTAAAAAAAAAATCAATTACATTGCCTGACCCGGGAATCACACCCGAGAACTCTTGCTCGGCAGTCGCACTTGCGACCACTCGGCAAACGAGGAAGTCCTTTTGTTGTTTTAATTGTGTTTTAATTTTAATCGTGCCTTTTTGCCGTATCAAAATAAATTGATGTTGATGTGCCGTTGCCTATTGAAATAGTAAAGGAAGTTGTATACCCTGCATGGTCTGGCGTCGGATCGTCCTGGAAGGAGTTACTGCGGCGGTGGAACAACTTGGGACTGACGCTCAGCTCGTGCTTCGGTAATGTAGGCTCGTCCTCTAGGGGCCTCGACACTGGGGGCTCCACTGGGGCGTCCGGCTGACTGAGGGCTCCTAGGGGGTCGTCGCTCAGGACTGGAGTGCGGGCTGATACTCTGTAAATAAGAATACGTGTCTTGTTTTATTAAAGATTTAATTCTGGTAGTTTTATGTGGATCCTATACTCGGAATTTTTTATTCGATTCCAGATTTGACAATTTCAGTGTTGCAACGTTACGACAAGTACTGAATAGTGACGCTGTGGAATTATTCGATATGGAAATGAAATATTTCCGGATCGATTTTTTCGTTTATAATTTTACTCTAGTAAACAAAGTGTATCAGGAAATTAAATATTTCTGAACCGATAATTTAGTTTCAACGATTAATTAACGATCTGAGACTTTTCTTTTTTAATTGTGTTTGAAATAAATAAAAAAAATGTGATCATGAAGGAACATGATAATTTATTTTATAAATTGTCGCCGTCATCGCTATTGCTATCGCTGTCACTTTCTGTAACATTTATAGAACACACACACTGATTTTTTATCGATTTTTGTGTTCATCACTACACTATTATATGTGGTATCATTATTTCACAAAATGACAGTAGCTAATGTCAAATCTGGAATCGAATTAAAATTCTGACTACAGTTGTATTTCGTTACCAAATATTTGATAATAATATATTACTTATTTTTGTGTACAGAGCTCTAGAAAGTTCGGTGTTCAAAAAGAGGATAAAAAGGGGTTTAAGACTTACTAATAAATTAACGACCATCCCGATATCCTGGCCCGTCCGTATTGTATAAGTAAAGCCCAACCAAATACTTCAGTAGAACACAAAATATACTAACTTGAGTGGTGAGGTCTTGGCATCAGATAGATCAGTGGCCGCAGCTTCCTTCTCCGGCTCCTCAGGGAAACTTAGTGTCCGGGAACACCGAGATTTTGTGTTGGGGGTTGTTACTGAAATAAAACAGTCCAGGTATTTAGGTTTTATGCCAAGATGGCGACATTAATTTATTAATATGCGATAATAATTTCACACATTTTGTGCGGAGTCTATGTCGATTCTATCTTTGGTAGGCAAATCATTTAACAGAATGGAAACTGGCATTTAGTCTTTTAACTAGTTTGTTTTGTTTGGTGTCTTATGCCAAGATGGCTACATTTCCAACAGCTACAATAGCTACATGACAAGTCTAGTTATCATACCTGTCTATCGATAATAATTTCACATATTTTGTATGGAGTCTACCTCTGCTAGTCAGATCTTTCAACGAAATGGAAACTCGCCTTTAAGACTATAACAGAATACATGGTGATTGCTATTACAAGTGACTCACCATTAGGGAACGCTAGCCTCTGTATTTGTTGCACGATCTGTGCGTCTCCCGCGAAGCTCTCCGACCGCGTGAGGATACGGAGGTCTGACGGACTGTCCGGACTTACGTGTATTGTCTGTAAACGGAGAATTTAATAATATTCCCTCTATAATATACTCCATACCGATTTGATTAAACAATAATAATAATTTAGTACTTGTCTTTTCTCTGGTATAGGGATGGGCGTAGACGACTCTTCGTTACTTAATGAATTACTTCTTGGTCTTGACGCTTCACTCAAATCCGGGTTCGATGGAACACCTAAATCAAAATGTATGAATTAGCTATTACGTCCAATTTCAATAACCTATTTATCCGTAGGTTTGCTTACTAGAGATAGAATTTTGACACATTTTATATGGAGCTCATGTCAAAACTCTATCTCTAGTAAGCAAATCTACGGATAGATAGGTTATTAAACTGGCTGTAAGTCTACATCGATCATAGGAACATAGCATGTCTTATTTGTATACTGTAACAATTAGGATAGTACAATGAGTAAGTTACCAGAGATGAGTATCCCCGCGGCGGCGGACATGGCGTGTGCGTGGGCGCGCGAGGTGGCGGCGCGGACGATGTTCCCGCGCCGGACCAACGCCTCGAACGCGGACGAGCGGGCCTCCGCCTCGCGGCCACACGCTGCGAGCGAACCAGGACATTTCATACTTCGCAATATTTAACATCTTCGTTAAATCCATCAAAGACGTCAACTGCTGAATGTAAGCCTCCCTTAGCGGGTAAGAGACTTGCATCCAGTGGACCCCTGCAGCCATTATTAGGTCGTCTGTCCACACTTTCTTTACATACACTAATCAGCAATGTCTGACACATGCCTCTTAAAATTAGCGCTAAACTGGTAATATAATATTGGTTATATTGGCGACACTATGCACTATGTGTATGTGTTGTACTAACATATTTAAAACCCAACACCTGTGTGTGTGGTTACATACCGATTATATAAAAACCCTTACATATTTCCGTGAAATATTTAATGTAAGTTATGAACTTACCAGAGTCCAAGCTAGTCCGGCTGTGAGCAGGTTCGCAGGCGGCCATGTTGGCGAGCCCGGCTAACTCCCCGCCCTCGCCCACTGCCGCCGCGGACCGTACGCGGGGCAGGGTACTACTGCCTGGAACAAATAACAAATAATACATGTAATAGGAAATATATATACTAATATATTCTAACGAAATATATACTTCCAACTACTAAATATTATACCTGTCATATTCAAATAATCGTTAAATTAAATAACGAAACGTGAATATCTTTTATTCCTCGAAAGGTTCTGTAGAGTTACATACAGCTAGCTTTTTCAGGTATTTATTGACATCAATTCTAAACTACACGTTACTACGAGAACGTTTAAGATAACAAAAATCGTGGATTATTTCAAATATGCTGCCTG